GCACTGAGCAAACCTCACTGGCTGAAGGGCTCAGGTCAGGGCTCCACCTTAAGTCACCTGCTCTCAGGACGGGCGCAGCAAGGACAGCTGCTCCGTAGCTGCGCAGCCCGCATCTGGGCCTGAGCTGCTGAGCCGCCCTCCCACCTTCCCCTTTGCTCTCGGGAGTGACACACTGACACGCGCGGAAGGGCACTGGCCTCAGCTGCAGACAGCTTAAAGCTCCTTAAAGCAGCTTGCGCCCTGTTTTATGCAACCAAATACTTAACAGCAACAGGGTGAACCGTATTAACTTGGGGCAGACTGGCTGCTTTTTAAGATTCCTAGAGTAAACTCAGAACATTAGATCCCAACACCAGAAATTGGCAAGTCCACTGGATAATGGGGCTGTGTCCCCGTTATTTTTCAGTTTCTCCCCATTTGTCAATAAAACCTGCCTTAGACTTCACACGACGGATACACACCCCCCCTAAAAATTCACTGTATAATTGTAGAGAATTCCTAAGCTGAAGATAGGTTAGCATGAAGACCTTAAAACCATGGACTCATTATTACAGATACTAATTTTTAGTTGGGCTAAAACCACACATCACTGTTTCAAAGTAGATGTAACTGCAGAGTTGGAAAACCACAGAGTTCATGTGCAAGAGCCCAAGGCAGATGACTTCCTCCCTCCAGTGCTAAACAGAGTGTTTCCCCTTACTTGGAGGTATTAAGTTACAGGCCTGCTTGTGTGAAGGTTGGTTGAATGGGAAGCCTACTGAGGTCAGGAGTAACTTAAGGTTAACGGGCTGCCCGGGCCCCCCAGGTTGGCAGTGCCTTCCCTGGTCACTCTATTCTAGAGTAGTACCTGTGGTGTGCATGGAAATTCAACTGCTAATGGACCCGCTGCTGATCACCTTTGATAACTTACTCATGCCAAACTCCCAGAAGACAATTTCCACATCTGGGTTTATAGTTACGTTCTGTCCGTGTCTGTCCACCCATGTGGGACACTGATCATAATCATAAAGCTGCTGACTGAGTGGGAAATGGGATCAAGGCCAGGTAGCTGGATAATCTGGTCAGAGGCCTCAAGCACAGATGCACAGAGTGTCGGGCACTCAGTCCCCTGGAAGGTGGTAGATGGACTGTCCGTGTGTGCCTCTTAGCCTGCCTCTTTTTCATTTCTGGTCGACATTCTCTTTGGTCACTTCAGTCTTCCTTTACCTAAACTTTGTCATCAAGCTCAAGGTCATTATTATTTTTTAAAAATATATCTTCATTGATTTCAGGGAAAGGAAGAGAGAGGTAGAAACATCAATGATGAGAGGGTCATTGATCGGCTGCCTCCCGCATGTCCCCTGCTAGGGATCGAGGCCGAGAATCAAACAGAGATCTCCTGGACCCTAGGTCAATGCTCAACCGCAGAGCCACGCCCGGCTGGGCTCAAAGTCATTACTGATCCTTGGTGTGTTGGCCATTCTCTGCCTTTCACTGCCTCTAAATATCTTCCCTGATGCTTTGTTTGTTTTTCCCATTTAATTGCCACAGCTTGGAAGTCTTACTAGCAAATTCTTTAGGGGGATCCATTGTATCTTTTATTATCCAAAGACTTTATACTAACTGCACATGATTTAAATATTCATCCACCTGAGAAATGTGATAAGCAGTTCTCGTCTGTTACGTTTGCTAAAGAGTATTAGAATCATCAACCCTCGTGCTATTATTGTTCTGAATTTTTATTTATTTTTTTACTTTTAATTTCAGATCAAGAATGACCGAGAAGAAATCACAGCTTTGTTCCAGAGCCAATGTTTATACTCAAGTGCCTGATGGGGGATGGGGCTGGGCAGTCGCTGTGTCTTTCTTCTTTGTTGAAGTCTTCACCTATGGCGTCATCAAGTCATTTGGCGTCTTCTTTAATGACTTGATGGACAGTTTTGAGGAATCTAACAGCAGGATCTCATGGATCATATCAATATGTGTGTTTTTCTTAACATTTACAGGTTAGTACATCTTTCACCTTCAACACTATTCTCATTTTAACTTGCCTAACTACGTAATGGTACTTGTGTTTCAGATAATGTCTTCCTTGACCTCTTGGCATTTCTAGCCTCAAGTAACGCATTTTTCAGGGGGTTGGGGATGGCAAGAGAAAGAGGAGCTGAAAGGGAAAAGCAGCCTCATTTGCCGGCCTCGACTGCCTTCAATTCAACACACAGGCATTAGACACCTACTGTATGCAGATTCTTAGGGTGTTGAGGATTACTCTGAGGACAGCAGTAACCCCCAGTTCTGCGGGGGATATCATAGTTTTTAGAGAAGCAGCATCCAAAGTACTTGGCCTAGCCCAGCCGGCGTGGCTCAGCAGTTGAGCATCCACCCAGGAACCAAGAGGTCACTGGTTCGATTCCCGGTCAGGGCACATCCTGGTTTTCGGGCTTGATCCCCGGCGGGGCGGGGAGGGTGGGAAGGAGGCGGCTGATCAGTGATGATGTTTCTCTCTCATCAATGTTTCTGCCCCTGTATCCCTCTCCCTCCCTCTCTCTTGCAAATCAATAAAAACATATTGGGGGAAAAAAAATGCCGCGATTGATCTGCAGCTACTTGAATCTGCAGGTGTAAAACGCAGGAATAAGGACGGCTGACTGTGTACTTGTTTTTTTAGAAACCTGAGTAAAGCGGACCCGCCCAGCTCAAACCCATGTTGTTCCAGGGCCAACTGTAATTCCTGAACTGACTTACGCAGGCGCCGCGGCACAAAGTGTATTGCAGGGTGCACCTCGTCCCTCCGAGGCCATGACCTGCGGGAGGGAACCTGATTAGGGCTCATGCTTGCGTGTCGCGTCCGTCCCGGGCACCTTCTCTCCGTGACGGAGACTTTAGAGGAGGGGCCGCCAGAGCCCAGCCGCCGCCTCCGGGGCTAAGCGTCCCTTGCGCTCTGCGCTCTTTCCCCAGCTCCCCTCTCCACCGTCCTCAGCAACCGCTTCGGGCACCGCCTGGTGGTGATGGCGGGGGGCCTGCTGGTCAGCACCGGGATGGTGGCCGCCTCGTCCTCCCGTGAGGTTTACCACATGTACATCACCATTGGCATCATCTCCGGTGAGTGTTTCCCTCGGCTCGGAAGTTTTCCAGAGAATGTTGTTTGGAGGCCAAGGAAGGGAGGCAGGGACCCAAACCCCAAGTGTTTTTTCCTTCTCCCTTCCCTTCTCTTTTTAAAAGAAATAGTGCCCCAGACCGGTGGTTTCGAACAGGGCTGTACGGGCCCCAGGGGATATGAGAATCTGTTCTTAATGCCCAAGAACGTTTTGTCTAACTTTTTATATTTACCAATGAGAAGAAAAAAAACACCTCTTTAGTGATACTGTAGTTTGCCACCAAAAGACATCATTTTCGCAAAGATTTTTATTTCTTTATCTAGTATTTCCCAAATCAGGGTCTGAGGATCCTGAGCTATAGAGGGAGGGTGCAGTGTACTGGGCTTATTCTTAGGGGTCTGAGAAAACGTTTTTCTCTTTAAAAGGAGTCCATACATTGCTGACATATTATATACATATATTCCCTTTATAGGTAGATAGATATGAGATATATAGCATATGTATGTATATATAGCTAATTGTCACACTTTAAAATTTTTAGATATTTCTATACATATCAAAACTCAGTTATTTCCAAATAGAAGTCTTATATATAAAAACCAAACTCAACATGAGTCATGTCCACTGTGAATTATATACATGTGGAAAAAAATGCAAAAGGGCAGGAAAAAAAAACACCCCAGCAAACAGTTTTTATACTCCTCACATCCCAAAACAACTGCTGCAGCTTCTCCAGACCTCTAATGAAACCCATTTTTCTTTGCTACAACACCTTTTCCAGAATGAATTACTGGGCTCCCAGAACTTAGGATTTAAAAAATAGACACAGAACCCCCAGCTCTCTGCCTGCACCTCCCGGTGCCCGGCCGCGGCGCTCACTGTTCTTTGGACTCGCGCAGGTCTGGGGTACTGCTTCAGCTTCCTCCCGGCCCTCACCATCCTCTCTCAGTACTTCGACAAAAGACGTTCGATGGTCACCGCGGTGGCTTCCACGGGCGAGTGTTTCGCTATGTTTGCTTTTGCACCAGGTAGGTGGTCACAGTAGCCTGTGTGTTAATGTGGCACCGGGGAAGCCGCCCGGCTGTCCCTGCTACACTAACTCGCCCACAGCTGGCCGCTGGGTGGCTGTCACTGGACGCATAATACGAGGGTACTCACTTCTCCAGCACATTTTTGGGATCTATCCCCCCTAACCCTCGTGTTAGGAATTCAAACATCTTAATCCCAGTCTACGTTTACACAAATAGGAAGATACATGGCACATATTCAGTATCGAGGCTTGAGACATCCATTCTGAAATAAGTAATTTAACAATTTGGGGTTGTGCATACTATTAATTCTTTCCTTTGTCAAAAAAGCCATATTCAACATGCGTTTAAATTGTGCTCATAAAGTCAGTTTTATTATCTGTGTGTGGGTCATCTTACAATGGAGTTTTTATCCCTGGTTTAATTCCCTTTTTTTTTTATGAGTAGTTTTTTTCATTGATTTTTAGAGAGAGAAGAGGGGTGAGGGGGAGAGAAACACCGATATGAGAGCAAAACATGGATTAGCTGCCTCCTGCATGCCCCCTACTGGGCACTGAGCCTGCAACCCAGGCATGTGCCCTGACCGGGAATCGAGCCAGCAACCTTTCAGTGCACAGGATGACACCCAACCAACTGAGCCACACTGGCCATGGCATAATTCCCTATCTTAAGGCTAACTTGTGAATTACTAACAAATAATAGATAACCTTGGAGACACAGATTCATTTCCTACCCTGCCATTTTTGGCGATTGTGTCCGTGGACTGCACTCTGTTCAAAGGAGACACATGTAGAAGATTTTAGGGGTGACCTGTCATAATGTCTGAAGCTTTTCAGATAGTTCCAACCTCCCATTCGGGTGTCCCTCCCACCCTCCAGGCTGCCTCTGGTCAGCAGCCTGGGACCCAACTGACTGGCGGGTGACTTCCACAAAGCAGACACTAGGGAACTGTATCATTTCATTCTGAGGCAGTCGCTGAGCTGCTGTTAGAGTCTTCGTTTACTTTGCACTTAATGCACTGCGACTAAGGACTGAATGGCTGGGTGGATAACGCTGTAGCTCAGAGGCTGGATATTCTATTCTTCAGAGGCCAGAGAGTAAATATTTTAGGCTTCGTGGGCTAGAAGTCTCTGTCAGAACCTCTCCTCACCTCTGTGGTTGCAGCATGAAAGCGGCCGGAGACGATGAGCGTGGCTGTGTCCCAGTCAAGCTTTATTATCAAAAAGAGGCACCGTGTGCCTCAGTGACTGAGCGTCAACCCATGAACCAAGAGGTCACTGATTCGATCCCCGGTCAGGGCACAGGCCCGGGTTGTGGCCCGATCCCCTACAGGGGGCATGCAGGAGGCAGCCAATCGATGTTTCTCTCTCATGGATGTTTCTCTCTCCCTCCCTCTCTGTTCCTCTCTCTCTAAAAATCAATAAAAACATATTTTTTTTAAAAAGAGGCCGAGGATCGGATTTGGCCTGCATATTGCTGTTTGCCGAACTGATGTAGGCCAAAAACTTACTCCACCTCTATGCCCCTACCTGGCAAAACGCACCGTCCAATGCTCTTTAGGAGGCCCGGGCTGACAATTTTTGTGTTATATATAATCATTATGCACATTTTCTCCTTAATGATTCCTAGAAGCACCAAAATACAGAATAAAGGCCAATACAGGTGGACTGCATTCGCACTACTGAGTAAATTGTTTCAAAAATTCATTCTAAATCTAAATCCGTATTTCTACTCACTGTTTTCTCTGGATGTTGAGTGGATGTCTGGCCTTAACATTTTCTTTCCGCTTCCCTCCCCGCCTCTCCAAGCATTCACGGCTCTGAAGGAGAGCATTGGCTGGAGATACAGCCTCCTGCTCGTGGGCCTGCTGCAGTTAAACATTGTCATCTGCGGGGCAGTGCTGAGGCCGATTCTCATCAGAGGACCAGGGTCACCGAAGATAACTGGACAGGAAAACCCAAAAGAAGTGCAATACATGCTTGAAAACGAGAAAACACGCACCTCGATAGACTCCATCGACTCAGGAGTAGAACTAACTACCTCACCTAAAAACGTGCCTAGTCACGCTCACGTGGAACTGGAGCCCAAGGCCGACGTGGAACAACAGATCCTGGAGAAGACCAGCCCCAGGCGGAGCGACAGCAAAGGGCCCCTTCTGGACTTCTCCGTGTTGAGAGAGAAGGCTTTCCTCTGTTACGCGCTGTTCGGCCTCTTCGCGACGCTGGGGTTCTTCGCGCCCTCCTTGTACATCATCCCCCTGGGCGTGAGCCTGGGCCTCGAGGAGGACCACGCGGCTTATCTCTTATCCACCATGGCCATCGCCGAGGTTTTCGGGCGGATCGGCGCCGGGCTGGTGCTCAACAGCCAGCCCATCCGGAAGATCTACATCGAGCTCATATTTGTCATCCTACTGGCTCTGTCTCTGTTTGCCTTTACTTTCGCTACTGAATTCTGGGGTTTAATGTCCTGCAGCGTGTTTTTCGGTGTTATGATTGGAACGGTAGCCGGCACCCACATTCCGCTGCTGGCAGAAGACGACGTCGTGGGAATTGAGAAGATGTCTTCTGCTGCCGGAGTCTATGTCTTCATCCAGAGCATAGCGGCACTAGCTGGGCCGCCCCTGGCAGGTGACGTAAATACACCAAATCCAAACCCTTGTCGACTATCCCTTCCCCCCTTTTTTTTAAGTTTTTATTGAATTTAGAGAGAGGGGAAGGGAGAGAAACCTTGATCGGCTGCCTCCTGCACGCCCCCTACTGGAGATCCAGCCCGCAACGCAGGCACGTGCCCAGGAATGGGACCGGCGACCTCTCGGTGCATGGGATGAAGCTCAGCCCACTGAGCCACACCACCCAGGGCTCCCCCTCCACCATTTTTATTTATTTACTTACATATATATTTTTCAAAATACGTCTTTATTGACTTCAGAGAGACGAAGGAAGAGGGAGAGAGAGACAGATAAAAACATCAATGATGAGTCATTGATGGGCTGCCTCCTACATGCCCCCTACTGGGGATTGAGCCCGAAACCCGGGCATGTGCCCTGACTGGGAATTGAACCTCAATCTGGCTTTTTAAATGTAGAGTTGGACAGGTGGAACATCTGTAATCTTTCTGGACCTGAAGCATAGTTCAGCATGACACTGTTTAGGGCAAGAATATTATTAAGGAAGACTGGAGATAGGCTCTACATGGAAATCATATTATAAAGTGGGCACTATCGTATAGATTACGTAATCTATAATATTTACTATTCCCTTATTAATTGTGCTGGCTTCCTGTTTGAGTCTGATTTTAATGTCTACTGATTTTAATACTTCCATAGAATTACAGAGCTGGCAGAATTAGAGATTACCCGAGCAACTCTCTTGACTTCAATGTGAGGAAATACAAGGTCAAAGATTGTGAGCCGATGGTCCAATGGCAAACCAGGGACCAGGTCACTCTGCCCAGGCCTTTCCCACCACCTTGCCTTATAAATGCTAGAGGGGACCCATGGATTTATAACTTTGTTAACCTCTGACTTAGAACAACAGAACTAAGGGACATCTGTGAGTCACCTTCCCTTCTTAGGAGGCTGTGAGGGAATTGAGCACAGAGCAGCACCCTGCATTTACTCAGTTGATTACTACAGAATATTTCCTGCCCTGGCCGGTGGGGCTCAGTGGTAGGGCATCAGGTTTGATTCCCAGTCAAGGACATGTACCTGGGTTGCAGGTTTGATTCCTGGCCCCAGTTGGGGCTCATGCAGGAGGCAACCAGTCCATGTGTCTCTCTCTCTCATCCTCGCTCCCTTCCACTGTCTAAAAATCAGTGGAAAAAATATCCTCAGGTGAAGATTAACTATATATATATATGTGTGTGTGTGTGTGTGTGTGTGTATATATATATATATTTCCCTGTAGGAAGGACATGGGAATGTTTCATCTTAGACCTGAAATAGGTCTTTAAAGTTATTGGGACTGAAAATCTTACCTCTTGTGAAAAAACATCTGAAATGAGCCCAAGTGAAAATGATAGAGCTCCTTCCCCTCTTAAGAATATTTATTACCTTTTCAAAGAAGCACAAGTCTCATGGTCCCACATTTTAGATTCTCTACTGAGACAGATTAGCCCACGAAGAGATTTTAGGGACACCGTTATTTCAGCTGCTAATAAGTATGTTGTATGTTTGTCTGATTTATCCC